ACGCGACTGATTGTTTGACTAACGGACCGCAATTCAGGCTCGATGACTTCCTCTCGACATGACCTCTATGGCACTCCCACACAGAGAGGATCCGAGTCACACGCAAAGCCCTGCACCTGCGTGTGTGGCACGCATACACGAACTGTTCAGCTCTGTCACTGCACTTGAGTCCAAATTCGGCCGTCTTGACAGTGTTTTGCTGTCAGAGCCTGATGAGCGAAGGTGGTAATAGTGCGGTAAATGTTGTGAAAGTACGTTGTTCTATCAACAAATTCACTTGCAGCACCGACGCCCTGTCCACTCCGTGGCGAACATAATGGACATCGCCTCTCCCCCCCCCCTGACGGTCAAACAGAAATGGCCAGAAATGGCCATTCCGGTCTCCCTTGTCTTTGTCGGTATCATCTCATCTATGTCTACCACAGTGAATTTGTCCAACTTAGCCGTTTGCCATTTCCCTGCCGTTAGAAGCACCTAACGTTAAAGGCAAATTAACAAGACAACGCGATAGCCCAGAAGACCCCAAGACTAGTCAAGTTCATCATCAAATCTGAAATGACCAGTCTCAGTCACCGCTATGCACGCCTGACAAAAGGACTGATCGTGTGCGCGAATCTCACAAAGTGCTCTTTTTCAGCTGTCGAATACTACCTGAAGTCAATTAGTGCGACTGATTTTTTATATTGTTTAGATCTTTGGATCTGTCGGCTAACAACAATGGCACCACAACAGGAGTCAGAAGGACGAGGATGGTGATTGGACTGCTGTGCCCACCACATGTGTATCTACCGGGAGCGCAATCACATCTACCGTCAGGGAATATGGTGTCAGGGAGCCGAAAACGCATTCCGGGCTGTGAGACCCGTGGTTTACTGATGCTGACATAGCACACGCTTTCAGACCTTTTGAGCTCTGAGCGTTGGATACTCCACAGAAAACAGACACAGCGACGTATATTCGTGAGTTCACGCCCCATATTATGCACTGTTTACTTACCACTAAGGTCGTCTTACCAGACTCCTCCGTAACGATAGGATACCCAAGAAGATGGCAACTCCAGTAGATATAGCCCAAAATTTGGAGTGACTTCCCATTGCCCGAAATGTCTGGAAATCGCTTTTTATCTATTGCCTAGTCATCGCGCTCAATTTCTTTGCCAAGTGACTGCGTACGATAGGATTTTCGGCAGAAATTTGTATATTTTCCGTGTCTTTTTGGCCTCCGTCCCGTGCGTTGCCCCTTCCCCCCGCGTAAACGCCCTC